CACTTAAAACATTCCCAGTGAGGGATCTCCTCATTGCTGCCGCCTGCCTCTTCTCTCTCTTACGCAGACCCCTCAATACCACGTACGTTTCTTCCTGTCGTAAACTGACGTGCCACTGACTCACAAAGCCCCACCAGGATCTCGGACTCCTGCCGTGTCTGTAGATGGGGATGTGTGTTCACCTCCCGCTTCCCTGAAGACATGGCCCTGGCAAGGTCACCTCTGGCTTCAGGGCAGTCTTCCCTTCTCCAAATGAGGGGGAGAATCATTCCTAAAATGTCTGCAATCATCAGCACGGTTTTCCTCTTGCAATGCTTGGTTTTTAATTTGCAAGCAGAGAGAAGGAGCCAAGGGGCCTCCCGCATGCCTTTGGGGTGGATAAGCTTGTAGCAGGTGTCAGACGAGGATTTGCAAGATGGTCTGCTGCTGTTTGGGACGCGGGGAAAGGTCATATGGCCAAAGGTTGGCTACGGAACGGATATCGAGTTGGAAAGGTTTGGAGCCAAAGCCCACGTGTCCTACCCTTGTGCAGATTCTTGCACAAACTTGTCCAGAGTTCATGGAAGGAACCCTCAGCCCGTCAGAAGGTTTGGATTCAGGGGATCCCTTAATTGTCCCATATCCGTGAAGACATAACCTTTGATTGTCTGTGACTCACCAGCATCTCAGGTTATAAGCCGTGTGGATTGCATTGGCTGACTTTGAAATGTCAGTTCAACCTTGAATTCCTGGGAGTGAGCCCTCTTGGCCACAGTGTGTTATTGTTTTAATATGCATACCTTTGGATTCAGTTTGCTAACAGTCTGTTAAGAACTTCTGTGTCTTGGGGCGCCTGGGGGCCTCCATCGGTTAAGCGTCTGACTCTTGATTCCGGCTCAGGTCATAGTCTCATAGTTCGTGAGTTCCAGCCCCACGTGGGGCTCTACACTGACAGCACGGACCCTGCTTGTGATTCCATCTCTGTCTCTGCCCCTCCTCTGCTCGCACTCTGTCTTTCTCAAAAATATATCATAAATTTGTCAAGAAACTTAAAAAAAAAAAAAGAAAAAAAGAATTTCCGTGTCTGTGTTCCTGGGAGATATTGGTGTATAATTTTCCTTCCTTGTCGTATTTTTTTGTCTGGCTTTGTCATCAGAGGAATACAAGACGTGTAGAATGAGTTACGAACTGACCGCCCCCCTATCCCTTTCCGTGCTGAAAGGATTTGTGAAGGAGTCATCATTTCTCCTCCCTAGTAGAATTCACTGGGCAATCTGAGTCCAGAGATCTCTTTCCTCGAGGTCAGGCTGTTCATTACAACTGCAATTTCATATTACATAGATAAGACTACTGGTGTCTTCTATTTTTTCTCGTGTTAGCTTTAGCAATGTTTAGCAATATTCCCTCAGTGTCCTTTTTCCTTTACTATTTATTTAGAGAGAGAGAGAGCATGCCTGCATATGTGAGTGCAGGGGAGGGATAGACGGGGGGGGGGG